ATCCTAATAATCTAACAACGATGACAGCTCTGATACCGCTTGTTATGAAATTATAAATTATATCTAAAATCGAACCAAATCTAGATGCAAATATCTTAGATTAAAATAACCAAAAGCCTAGGATCTACATCATGCCAGAATATTAGGATTCACGGATTCAGGTTATATACCTGGATCTATTATGAACGATTGTTTATTGTTGCGAAATTACAACGATAATCGATCACGTACTAACGAACACGAACGAAGGGGTGTGGTTTGCGATCTTCCTTAATCAAATTGCTTTATTTCCTCAATGAGGCTGTCGTCTCTCTTCCAGATGGAGAGAAGAGAAACTATGTATAATTTGATATGTTGGGGACCATAACCAAAAATATCTTTATATATTGCTCAATTAGAGTTCTCATAATCCCCTAATTATAACAATATTGGTATCTAGTCAATTAACACTTATTTATTAAATAACTAATATAATTGAATTAAATATGTTGCAATTAAATAGAAAAAATAATTGATTTTCCTAACCTCCTAAATATTTAGGAGTACCATTAAATAGAAAAATCGTTGATTTTCCTAGCACCTTGTACAGGCNCTAACCTCCTAAATATTTAGGAGTACCATTAAATAGAAAAATCGTTGATTTTCCTAACACCTTGTACAGGCGAAAATGTTCATTTTCCATCATCCTTTTACATGCACATAACTAGTGGCGATGACATTGGGTAGTGTGGTTGCATTGGTGGAGGATGGGGAAACGAATCTTTTTATTTTTAAGTCTTTTTTTTATTGTGTTCTTTTGTTTGTTACTTTTTGACATAGTTATTAAAATCGGATCTGGATGGCCAATTAGAATCGAGAACCAACGAACCAGATGGTGGTTTGGTCTGAGTTCATTAATTAATTGGACAAACAAGCAAATGAATTGGTCAAAAACCGGTCGATTCGGACGGACTTGAGAATAACTTGATCTAGTTCAAAGTGGTTAACCAAGTACAATGCAATCTCTCTTTTCTATTTGCATAGGGAGTGATTTGAACCTTGACGATCAAGTTGGAGTTTTGGGTCCTTGGCCGATTTAGAAACTAATGAGTCTTTACACTACCATGTGAGCCAAATTTATATATTCAGATTTAGAGAAATGGTTATCAAAGTGTAATGTAAGGTTTATTTTCTGTTTGCAATGGCAATGATTAGAACCTTGGCTTCCATTGTGTTATTTCACTTTCTTGACCATTTGGGAAACTTGTGACTTTGGTCATATAATGGAGCCAAACATATATATTTAGGATTAGCAAAATATTTCTCTTTTTTAGTTCAAAAATATATTTTAATTAAAATTACGATACCAACGACCAATCAGTTCAAGCACCAAGTCACCGATTGAACCACTGACCCGGTGACCTGATGATTGTTTCGGGTCGATTATCGAGTCGGGTTTAATAACTATGCTTTTTGATTTCTGCTTTTAAATTATTTAATTGAAATCTTGTTGTACATGTTGACAACATGCTGAAAGTTTTGTGATCAACTGTGAATTTAATTTATTTTATTTTACTACAAATATGAGTATAATTATCTTTTTCATAAAAAAATTGGACTCTTTAACCGTCTAAACGGTAGCTGACATTGACAAAAGTCCTAGTTTCACCACGAATTGTGCAAATAGGAGCCACAATGTCAACCCAAATATATTAGGTCCTGAATGCGCAATGATCCCAAAAGGTAGGGGCCATTTGCATCAATTAGCCATTAATAGTTCATAAAATAAAACGATCTTCAAATTTTTTTCATACTCATAAAACTTAAACTCCCTATAAATGTAAAGAAAACACATAATAATTGTAAACATAAATTACACCACCAAATTTACAATGTCCCTTTAGAAGATCTTCCGCTCGAGATATAGGTATCTTTTGCGGAAAAATAATTGTATTTTTAAGAGTGATATAATCATTAATTTCTTAAATCACGGTGCAAACTCATTTACTAAAAAAATATCTAGTTTCATTAGCTAACATTTCCTCTTTAAATCTATAATGTTCGAGGTAGCAAATTAAGTCGTACATGACATTATAAAATAAGAAAAAAAGATTGGAGTTTTTTTTTTTTAAATGCATTTATTCTAAAATCATCTTTGCTCACAAATTTTCTTACAAAACAATATTACACGTAAATTTGTAAAAAATTTCTTGATTTTGTAACATCACATTTTTTGAAAAATAATTATTTTAAAATATGTTTTTCATCAAAATCTTATTTTAATAGAATCCAAACAGGGTCTTAGTAAGCGGTCATGAAATGACCTACTCTCATGTTTTGTATGGACTATGTTGGTCTCCACCAAATAAAGTTGAATCGAGCTTCTAGCTTATCCATATTGAACGACTTAAAAAAACAATTCAACCCTATTCAAGTAGACAATATGACCAAAGTCAAACTAACCAGCTTTCAAAGTCATTGTCACAATTCAAGTTTATAGCCAAGGTTGAAAGCCATGCTAATAGAATTTTCAAAGAAGAGGAAAATAGAAATAACAACGTAATAATTAAACCTTATAATAGGTGGGCTACAGATACAAAATGGGATTTGTATAAAATTAGTGAATTATAGTCCTAAATACTAAAGTAGACAAATTTTCTTCACAAAACGCACACATATAAACCTAAATTTCTTCAAAAAATTCAAATATATATATAAAAAATCTCCCTTCTACATACAGAAAGATAAAATCTCTTCACGAAGTGCACAAAGAGGCCTAAAATTGAGAATATAGCCTTTTTTTGGTGGAAAATTTACCCAGATTTTGAAACGACGACAGTTAAAGTCGGCGACTAAAGGAACTAGGGTTTTTTTCTGTTATCCAGAAGATTTTCAGGGTATACTTATTTCGTTATTATTGACTTGAGGATTGAGGGCCAGTCTATTAATTGATATTTGATATATACGGACCGTTTCCTTTTATATTCTGAGAATTTTCCGCTACCAAAAATCTTGGGATTTTGGGATTCTTTCGTTATCGTTGGGAGTCTAGGTTTTGATTTTCTCCCTGCTTTCCATCTGGGATTAGTTTTGTTGAAAATTACTCTGTTTTGGGATATTTACTGCACGGATTAGGATTAAATTTTAGTGGGCTGTTTATGGAATTTTCTGGTTACTGAGATACGTCATTCTTCTTCTGTTGCTTTCTTGAACATTAAGGCCTTGACAAGCCTTTGTTAATATGTCGTCTGGGCACTACAGAGACTAAAGAGTTTAGTTTTCAATCACTTTATGAATTTTCTTATTGACATGACATCCTAAATTGTATAGGCAGAGAATTCAGATTCTTTCATTGTAACTCTTGTTCTTTGGAGGAATTGTTGGGATTTTTGTGAATTTTGTTGATGTGCTACTGGCTAGTGAGTTGTTAGTAGCACAGTAATGGCTTTGGCTTTGAAAATGCGGATTAATATATAGGAAATTTTGGAAATATTATACATTTTGGATTGACTTTGTCTAAATCACATTCTATTTTGTTGGGGGTGGGAAGGAGGTGCTGCATTTATCAATCATCTGCACGTGCCACTGGATACGTGGTCATTAATTTGAGGAAGACAAGTCAGTTGTTTTCCATTTATTCCTATATATGATAATGTTTGGTGCTAGTTATGGAAAGAAGTGAGCCTTCATTGGTTCCGGAATGGTTGAAAAATGGTGGAAGTCTGACTAGTGGCAGCATTACATCACATTCAGGTTATCTTTATCATAATTTTGAAGCAATATCTTTTATTTAGTATGTACTGCTTAATTGGTTTAATCTAGTTTCTAAATGCATCTTTGTTTTGTCAGAGAGTCAAGCTACATCAAATCTTGCAAGAAATAAGTCATTTGTGCATAGTAATGGTCATGATTCGAGGCGATCATATGGTTCTGATAGAACCACTTCATCATATTTCCACCGGAGTTCTAGTAGTAATGGTTCTGGTCGTTTGAGCTCTTACAGTAGTTTTGGTAGAAATCACCGGGATAGGGACAGGGAAAGGGACATATATGATTCTTGTGACAAAGCAAAGCCAGTTTTGGGGGACTATAGGCACCGAGATTTTTCAGATGTTTTTGGGAACGATTTGCTGAGTAAATTTGAGAGGGATGGGGTGAAGCGTTCACAGTCTATGATTTCTGGGAAACGTGGGGAGACATGGCCAAAGAAAGTTGTAACAGACTTGAGCAGTGCCAGCAGAAACGACAATGGCTTACTCACCGAGGGCAGTCCTGTTGGCAGTGCAAACAAAGCTGCTTTTGAGAGAGATTTTCCATCCTTGGGAGCAGAAGGAAGACCAGTCACTCCTGAGGTTGGAAGAGTCCCATCTCCTGTCTTGAGCACTGCCATTCAGAGCTTACCCATTGGCACCTCAACTGTGATAGGTGGCGAAAAGTGGACCTCAGCATTGGCAGAGGTTCCCTTGCTAGTTGGTAGTGATGGAATTGGCATTTCATCTTTGCAGCAATCCACTTCTTCAAATTCTTCCTCTGGCACTTTGGGGACAAGTTCTGGTCTTAACATGGCTGAAACTGTGGCTCAGAGTTCTACTCATGCTCAGACTACTACTCAGGTAGTTTTCAATTCTCCCTATGTTTTTGGGGAATGAATCAGAAAGTTATTATACTTATATGATGTTTTATGTTCTGTTATAGTCATCAGCTGGAGCTTCAAGACATGAAGAACTGACGATTAAACAATCTAGGCAGCTAATTCCCATGACACCATCCATGCCGAAAACTTTGGTAAGAGCGTTAAAACCTTTGCTTTAAAGTGTGTAATACTTAGTTAATCAGCTTTGATAGAAGAAGTTTGTTATTATAGAGAAAATTACAGAAGTATAAAACAAGGAGTACTCGGCTACACGTAAACATAACGAAAGGAACATATGAAATAAATGAATCTTTCTAAGCACATTGCAAATCTAGTAGAGCTAATATGGCAAATATGCTAGAAGCTTTTGCAAATAAAGATGACAAAAAACACGACTTCATTCCATATTAATTAGCATACAGTAATTTCATCTTCAAGTGAGAACTATATATTCTTTCAATCCGTGCCATCAGTATGGCTGTTAGACATCAGGTGCCTAGGATTCCTATTAACGGAATATGAAAGGAGAAATATGGAAGCGTGCCTAAGATAAAAGAAGATTTGTAGATATACAGATAGTTACAGAAGTGGAGGATGAGTGTTCTGGTACTTTTGAAACTACAGGGCAGAGAAAATTATTAGTGAGATAACTCTTACTAGCGTGTTGCATATCCAATAAAGCTAAACCAGCACATGGCCTAAAAACTTTAGACCATAGTGATGACAAGAAACTCACTCTGTTCCACAAGCAATGAAATTACTCTCTATTATGTCTAATCTAGAAATGGCTTGCTTTCATCTAGTTAATAAAGAACTCTATAGATATTTGTCTTCTAAGTTGGGGAATATTTGTACCCCCTACAAACTTTCAACCTGATTGTGAAAGGAAAAATAAAATTGTTTCAGTATTTACTGAATTAAGCATTTTTTTAACTTCTTTCCCCACTCTTTTGTGTATATTGAAACTTATTTGGTTTATTGTTGGTGACGTGTCAAGAGTCTCTCTAAATTGTTTGCCTTTAGGAGCATTTATGTCGATCCAGCATCTTTACTTTTACTTTTATCACCATCTTTTTTCATTTAAGCTCCAAATGATGATGATTTCTACTAATATGAATGGATGAATGAATGTGAGAATTACCAGCACGAGATTTTAAACATGCGTAGTCAACTAGCGATAAAGGGCATCCCTAGGACTGACTCTTACTTATACAACTTACTGTCTCACAACTGTTTCTTTCTTATCTTCACCAGACTAGTGGTTCATTAACCCTTTTAAGCTATCTTGGACAAGGTAACCATATAATGGTCAGTTGTCTGGTTCTCCTTGGAAACTATATAACCAGTATCGTATCAATCGAATTCCAAAAGGCCCCTCAATAATTCCTCCATCGAACAAACCTATGTAAGAATCTGCTCTCTCTCCGTACAATTTATCTATACTTTCAAGTCAATACCAACTTCTGTAATCTCTGTGGTGCCCAAAGACAATGTTAACTAGGACTTCTTGAGACCTTCATGATCAAGAAAGAATGCCATATCTCAGTAACGAAAAAAATTAATAAACAGCCCACAAAATAATTATCCTAATCCATGCAGGGAAAATCCCAAAACTTTCCGATTCTTTAAGAAGTAACGATCCTACATGAAAGCAGGGAGTAATCAAACCTAAGACCCTCAAACCAACCAACAATAACAAAAGAATTCCAAAAATTCCAGAAAATAAATGATTTGAACAGTGAATAGCGCAGAAAATACTGGGAAATAAAGAATGGTGTATATATTAAATGTACAATAGAATGACCCTCAATTTTCAGATTAATATAACAGAAAAGTATATCTTGAGAATCTTCTGTATAAGCGAAAACCATAGTCCCTTCAGTCACTGCCTTGCAAGTGGTGATGGCTCATAGTTCATGTCAAATTTTCTAGAGATAAAAGACTAGTGTCCTATCCTCTCATATTGGCCTCTTTGTGTACTTTGTAGCGAGTTGAAGAAAAGATTTTGTGTGTGTATGTATGTAGAGAGATTTTATGTGTATCCTCTCAAATTTTATGTGTGTATGTATGTATATGTGGACGTGTTGGGGAAATTTCTGTGTTTTGTGAATAAAATTTGTGTTGAATGGTATTTTCCTTTGTTGTTAGTAGTATTTCTATATGTATTGTGGACTGTGGGGTACTTGTACATTCTGTGCATGTGTTGGTGCATTGTATTTGTAGCAAAGTGATAATAGTAGTTCACTTTGTTCTAGTGGTGATAAAACATAAGGACTTTGGATTTGCTATGATGGATAGTCAAATCGAAATTTGTTCCTATGGACAGTACAATTTATCTGATGTCACCCTTAAGGTAGGTTTTATGATTTATAAACAATTTATTTTTAGTTGTTACCTAAATTGATTTACATAGATTTGAGATAAGAGGTTAAATGTGTGATAGAGTATTGAAATCTTTTGTAAGTGGATACTTGAATGTGACCATTTCTAGGAGAGTAGGGGTCTAAACTTGTTTACTTGAAGGAGGGGAGTTTGCAATATGTTCTTTCTCAGTGTTCTATTTGGTTTATTCATGAGATATGTATTTTTCACTTTAATAAGTAAAATAGCTTAAGCAGTTGCAGACTTTTAGGAATTTGATTATCCTTGTTGGACAACTTTCTGTTGGCAACATTCATCTGTAGACGTATTATTAATATATTGTCGCTGAAATTGAACTTTTGCTTCAGGTCTTGAATTCTTCAGATAAGCAGAAATCTAAGGTTGGCCAACAGCATACGCTGGCATCTTCACTTCCTGTTAGTCACTCTCCACGCGTGGCTCCTGAGAAGTCTGATGTTTCAAAGACATCTAATGTTGGAAAGCTCCATGTTCTAAAGCCAGTGCGAGAGAGAAATGGTGTCTCTCCTGCGGCCAAGGATATCTCGAGCCCAACAAGTGGTAGCAAAATCTTGAATTCCTCTCTTGTTGTTTCTCTGTCGGGTTCTGGATCTGCAGTGATTCGGGGCCCACCAAACAACCCCATTCTTCCTGGTGCCAATCACAAGCCTGTATTGACTGTGTCGGAGAAGAAATCGACTTCTCAAGCTCAAAGTCGAAATGAATTTTTCAACCTTGTGAGGAAGAAATCTTTGGCAAACACTTCTCCCGTTCCTGATCCATCTACGGCAAATACGTCTCCTGTTCATGATCTATCTATCGCAAACTCCTTGAACATTCCTGATTACAGTACTACAGTGTCACTATCTCTATCTGTATCTGTATCGGATAAGCTTGGTGAACTACCCGAGATGGTGGCTTCTAATACTCGTGCGGGTGATACCCCGTCATCTATCGGCTTGAGTGAGAGCCATATGTCTGTGGACAGAGTTGACTCGACCTGCAATACTGATGCCTGTAACTGGCAGAAATATGTTAACAATGGAAAAGAACGCTTAAGCGTGGATCCTATATTTCCAGAGGAGGAAGAGGCTGCCCTTTTACGATCTATGGGATGGGAGGAAAATGCTGATGAGGGTGGTCTTACTGAAGAGGAAATTAGTGCCTACTACAGAGATATAAATAACAAGAAGGTACTTGATATTGTTAAAGTTAATACTGTTTCATGTTTATTTATTTTGGATAATACTGATGCATTTTTATTAATGACTTCTGTTGGTCATGTGAACTACAGTACATCAATCGAAGGCCGTCACTGAAAATATTACGAGTACAGCCAAAGTTTTTGTTGCCTCGTGATTCACAGATTGGGACTGGTGATGGCATTTCTTCTGGAGATTCGTCTGAAACTAATCTGGAAACTTGATTTGCTGGATGTGCTGAAATTTTTTTTGCTTCTTTGATTGAAATTGAGATTAAGAACTGCCGTAGCAAAGTAGATGCTTAAAGAATATGGCTGGTGAGAGGTGAGTTGATGCCTCTGCTGGTGTAAGGAAAGTGGAATAGGAATAACTGATGGTTCCAGTCCCTATATCGACTTCTGATGATTGATGCCAGAAATTCGGTTCAAGAATTTTCTATGGTTCGGACGTGGAGTAATAGAGAATAGAATAGGTTTATCAAGCTACTCAAATTGACTGCTTGTGTGCAAATTCTAGGCCTTTTAACAGCTATAGGATTTTGATTAGTGGAATCCTTTGAACAGTTCTGGTTTGTTTTGTTGGTTAAAGATAGAAAAGAAAAATAATTTACTTATCTTTGATTGTCTTCTTCCCTTTCTTGATTATTTTAACTTTTTTCGTCCAGTTCTACTTATTTTTGAGGGTTTGTGTGTATCTAAAATGGACAACAGTTTCCGAATCTGGTATGTCAACTAAGTTTGTGAACCCTTTTACTATGTTAGTTTAGACGGTTTAAAAGAGAGTAATGTGTGGTGGAGATTAAAATCGGATTTTTAAATTTTAATAAAAATTGATAAAATATGTGGTTAAAATAAATTGTTGACTTTGATTTAGATATCAACATGTGCTAAGTCTTTAGTGAAATATGAATACCACTTAAAAAGAACGAGCAC